GTTGTAAAACTAGCTCGGTTGACGAAGGGTAGGGGGAGGTTGGTTTTTATTTCCAAAACAAATATCAAGTTGTATACTATTAATAAAACTACGATGATGTTGGTTGGATAATTTTATCCAGAAAATCCCATTTTTTCTTCTCAAATTTCTAATGGAAATACACTACTCATATTTTTTTCAATTTTCAAACCTACTAAAACCTACTAACTAACCTATATGTTTTATTCCACCAACGGATATCTTTCTCCTTTTATTCATCACTCCTCATTAATATTAACACTCTCTCTCCTCTCATTTCTCTCTCCTCATTAATATCAACACTCTCTCTCCTCCAACTTCTATTTCTTCTTCTTCTAATAATAATAATAATAATAATAATAATAATAATAATAATAATAATAATAATAATAATAATAATAATAATAATAATAATAATAATAATAATAATAATAATAATAATAATAATAATAATAATAATAATAATAATAATAATAATAATAATAATAATAATAATAATAATAATAATAATAATAATAATAATAATAATAATAATAATAATAATAATAATAATAATAATAATAATAATAATAATAATAATAATAATAATAATAATAATAATAATAATAATAATAATAATAATAATAATAATAATAATAATAATAATAATAATAATAATAATAATAATAACAATAACAATAACAATAACAATAACAATAACAATAACAATAACAATAACAATAACAATTGCGAATGGAGAATGATGAACCTGTTGCATGTTCTATATGTTACGTAGAAGTAAGGATAATTCAATTTATTCAAAAGGGTAATTGCAAGAAAAAAAATATTAATGGACGAAAAAATTAATATCGATCGTTACAAAAATCTATAAATATAAAATAAAATTTATTCAAATATATGCAATGAAACATATATGAATCTCTATTACAAATCAAGAAATGTACGAATTATTTTGTTTCTATTGTATGCCCAATTGCATTAACCTCAACCTCTTCTTCATTGAAACCAAGCTTACAATCATATCAAGTATATAATCAAAATATGGAAGAGTAGAAGTAAAAATTTGTGAAAATCAATCCATACAATAATGTTGAATCATATCGTGCATGCTACACAATATCGCAGGACTTTTCACTTGCGGATGTCGACGCATATGGCACAAACGATGTTATTTATTAATCTAAAAAAACAAAAACAAAAATATAAGTTATATTCTTATATAAATAAACAATAAACAACAAATAACATGCTTAGAAAAAAGTATACAATTACAAAACATAAAGACAAAAAACCAAAATATTAGGGTGATCGAGAACCGTGATTTTGTGTGATTATAACAAAATGTATTGAAAAAGAATGAGATGAATGAGTTGGGGTTGAAGGTATTTATACTTTACTTTTACATTCTAAATAAGTAAATAATTTTTTTTAAGGAAAACATATATTTTATGTATTAATGAGCTAAACCAAATTATGGAATTAAGGTATTGATGTTATTTACTCCTAATATCATGGACCGATTATTTAGTCCTAAATTCCTTAATAAAGTCAAACAAATCAACATCTATTAAAAATGAAATCATGAAATTTAAATTTAATCAATTTTGTAACTTTATATATATATATATATATATATATATATATATATATATATATATATATATATAT